CCTAACTTAAACTTTTAAAATAATTTTCTATAACTGGAACTGGAACCAGAACCTTTAAATACAAATTTTCATAAACCTAAACCTGAATTAATAAATAATTATGAACTGGAATTGTAAAAACCAGAAGGTCTCTGGGTGCACTCTGAAACTACTCAACCGATTTTGATAAATTAATGTTCAATGTGTATGGTTTCGTCTAACTTAAAATATAGGATAATTAATAATTAAAAAATTTAATCCCTAAGAGCATAAATAAGGGTTTTTAGTTATTTAAATATATTTAGATATCTAATTGTTTTTTTTATTTTTTTTTTTTCATACTTTCAAGATATAGACGAAATAACAAAATAAAAATTGGCCCAGCAAACTGATTAGGATAATTAAATTCAATTAAAATGAAAAAAAAAATAAATAAAACGATTTAAAAAAAATTGATAACAGACAATTATCAATTTTTCTATCAGTTAAATCACTAAAAACTATTAATTTTAAATAAACCATCAAAGAGAAATGTATCTTTTTAAAAAGGCTATGGGGGGTATCCATCTCCCATAACAACCCAGCGTTTACGCCCATAGTTATTTACATAGTTATTCTAAAAAAAAATTTGAGTTTATTTTTTTTTTTTTCATATAGTAGAGTTATAAATAGATTAAACTGTTTGACTGAACAAGGTTACTTGAAAATTTAACACATGATTTATTATAAGTTGTCTTAAGAGCAATCTTAAGTTTAATGCTTTAGTTTTTTATAATTATCGTTTTAAGATTAAACTTTAACGAAAATCATACCAGTACCAGTTATAATAATTTTTAGTGTTAAAATTTTTGATTTCCGTCAAGCCGTAAACGAGATATTCCACTTTTAAGTTTAGGTGAGAGGGGAGGTACTGGAGCACTATCCAAACCATCGCCATACAAATGCTGCTCCACTACTCTCTCTTCCCCGGCCCGCCTAAAATTGTTAAAAGTGGAATACATCGTAAAGGCTTGACAAAAATCAAAAATTTCAATATCAAAAATTATTTTAACTAATACGCCAATTATTTAAGGAATTTTAAATATAGGTTGCCATTTTAAAATCAAAAATAGAAAGCAGCAAAGCTATTTTATCCCATAAAAATAAGGGCGGAAAAAATGATAATTGAGAATTTATGAACTATTTGATTCGTAAGTTTTCAAAAAAAAAAATAAGTACTTTCCGAGATATATCTTTCGTGGAAGTACAATAACGCTACGCTGTGTGTGTGGATATATTGTAAAATAATTTATCTTTTATTACATGTCTATATGTAATAAACAAACCATGTCGAGTAAGGGTGTTGCCACACTTACAACCCTATAATCGATAATTTTATTTTCACTAATTAATTGGTTAACTACATTAATACATTAAATACATTAAATAATAAGTTACTGAAATTGCATTGTACATTTTTAAATAAACATAAAAGCTACGCCTATTTTTGCGTAAACATTTTAATTTTCAAAGTACTCACCGTCAACGTCTTATTATGACCGCCGTTATTTTATACAATTGACACAATTGTCTTAAAGACAAATATTAAAATAAATTCTGATAGAAAAAATTATGAAAACAACTGAAAAATATTATAACGCACACACGAGAACTAAACAATGAATATTAGAAGCGTCGTCCAAGATTTAAGCAGCGACTGTGGGGATTGGTTCACGAGTGGCTCGTAAAGGACACAGAAGTCAAAAATAATCCATATTACCAGAATAATGCTTAGACGAGTGGACGCCATAGAGAAATAATAACTAGTGGGGGATGCCGACTGATGGTGTGACCAACATAATATTTATATACGAGTTTAGTAGGGTTTTCCTTGTTCATATAACATTTATTGTATATTGAATACCATTGTACCTACTTTTATTTTAGGCCCTGAGTGAAGCGATTAATGTATTGGTTTTAAGATATTTATTTTAAATTCTAAGAGGAGCGAAGAGGCTTAGGCTGTTCCAAACGAAACGAATGTCCGAGCTTCACACTAAACGATACACTTACTCGATATAAATGACCTACAAACATTATTTTCCGCCAATTTTCGAATCAAACAAATGGTCTTTTATTTTACATTTAGTCGTTCAGACATCGTAGTTGTACGAAGTGTTAATTTATAATCGTTCTGTACTTACTTTTACAAATTTAATATTATTTAAGTTTGGTCATTCAATTTTTTTTTTAACGGAAACATTGAACACTATTGAACGCGTTAGTGTAACTTATTATATTTAGTGTAAGTATTGAAAACTTACTATTTTATTTTTTAATGTTAAAAGTTTAGTAAAACTATATTACATTGGGGATCGATAGAGTTGGGCATTATTCGAATAATTTTAAAACTGATTATTCGAATGAAAATTCATTCAAATAATTTTCAAACATAATATTGAGCTTTATACAAAAATACTGTACTTTCCGTAATAGTCTAAAGTTTAAATCTATATACTGCCATCGCATTGCATGGGTGATGCTTATCGTAACTGCCTTAATATCGGCCTATCAGTAACGAAAATGTTTATAATGGTTCTCGACGTTTTTCCCTAATCAAATTTCCCGAACATCCCTTTTCCCGAAGATCGTTTTCTTTTAATGGTATATTTCTCAAACGGTATAATTCCCGAATAGTGTATTTCCGAATACTATTGATTTTACCAAAACATCATTTTTCCCGAATGGTGTATTTCCTTTCCCGAATAATAATAATTGTATATTTACTTAATTATAGTAAGTTAGATATAATTAAAATTTTAAAATTTAAATCTATATAAATAAAATCAAATGCCACTAAATCACTGATCACTGTATCTCGAAAACTACTCAATGTACCCACTTAAAATTTGAATCAGTGGTTTCTCTAATACTTTTAATAAGCAAGAATTCCAGCTATTTGTTCTCATTCAATTCTGACACGGCCAAAACCGAAAATAAAATGAATAAAATAATAATACAAAAAAATTGGCACGGACAACGGCGGGCACGGAACAGCTAGTACAATAATAACTGTATACGATTGTCGTATGTTATTATAATATCGATCGCCTTCCCCCACCTCACCAATTCGCTACCCCTGCCGCGGAAGGTTTTTTCCGGCGAAATCCAATCATCGTGCGTTCGACTCCGGGGTTTCGCGTACGCCCACAATACCATTATAACAAGACGATTATCACCCGTTTCTATGGTCGTTTACGATATTTTTCATTTTTTTTTTTCTTTATTTATTGATCTGATGCACGAGCAACCTTCCCCTTTTTTATAGGATGGGCCGGTAAATATTCCGTCACCCACCACTGAGCAATCGCCGCCGTCGCCGCACACGATAGCTACGTGGGCCCCTATATGTGAGCGACGCGCGTAATTAATATGTGCCGTATTAAGGTGGCAACAGTGTTTAAGAAATGTTTGTGATGGAACTGGTAATTGCACTGCCCAATGATTGTTTTCGCAAAAATTTCTGCTCAGAAAATTACGCGTTGATTGTTGGTTGTGTTAAGTGGTTGTTCGTGGATTGATTGAGAGTTTTCATTGGCATAGAACCAACAATTTTGTTTATTTACTGTCCCATTCAACGTTAGACACTTCGAAAAGTGATGAGAAATACTGAAAAATGAGCACATTCCGCCATTTGCTCTAAAGGCGACCATTTAAGTGATATTATTTTAAAAAAATAATCAGAACAAATTTCCATGTCTAAAATAAACGAAAAATGATTCAAAATTAATAATTCGTGTTTTTTTAAAAAAAAAACTATTACCAAAAAACATCCCGTAGGTGTAAATGGCCTATCCTGTATAATAATAATAATAATTTACAGTCCGAGATTAATTCTTTGAGTAAAGTACCTTAACATTAAGCCCTGAATCTGGTATAACTTCAATTTCAGTATGTATATAAGTGGCCATTTCATTAAGTTTCTGCTGTTCTGTAGTGATTTTTAAAAAAATTTTAACCTCCTATGAAAATGATCTTTATGATAATAATTGTTATCAAATATTCATACATGATGTTATAATATTATGTTTCAAATTGGTATTGAAATCACACAATTACGTAGAATTCGTAAAAAAACTCAATAACATATTACGGGGAAGGGGGATCACAACCTTTAAACCCCCCCTAGTTGCACCACTATGTCGCGTGCAAACATCACATCCAAAATGCGTCCTGAGCACTTTGTTCACGCAACGCCGCAACATTTGCTATGTTCCAATTATTTCGCCATTATACTATATTACTGTTTGCCCAATATGTATTTAAATTATTACTTTCAGAAGCTGTAACAACTATAATTTTGTCTAATGTTGGTATACTATGAATAAATTTATATTGTAATTGGGAAACCAGCTAAATAAAATAAAATGTATATGTGAGTCTCATTTAGGGATTGATTCATCAAAAATGTCTTTTTAGTACTTGATTACATTTACAAGGAACCTCTTTGCAAAATTTCAAGTTTCTAGACCTAGTAATTTGGATTGTGTAATGATGAATCCATTGTCAGGACAAGTTATTTTATGTATAATATACATTAAAAATAGTTAAATTAATTTTAATATTTTATTATAAATTAATATTGTATAAATATTATTTGTTATTATATAGAACGCTTATCAGGTAAAGCTCTGTTTATAAATAATAAATTAAAATTACTTAAGTGCTTAACAAAAACCAATTTAAAAATTGTACAATATATATGGTTAATGTTAGTTATAAAAGAATAAATAATAAACATTTAAATAGAGCTACCTAAAATAAAAATGCATGTAAACAATTAACTAAAATAATATATTTAAAAAACTTTGTCACTAAAAAAAATCAGTGTTTTCTGTCTGTCCCAAATTTAATATAGATAACAAGTTTGTGACTCTCTGTTTGAGTTTAAGGCAAAGGAAACAATTATACATTTTATTAAGAAAAGTATTTAATATAGTTTTACAAAAGATTAAAATTAAGAAAAATGTAAAACACATATATTTTGATAAAAAAATGTCTATAATAAATAAAAATCATGTGAGAGACAGATGGCAGAGAAAACTAATGTCAATGGTGTGGTTAATTTGATTGAATTGCCCAATAAATAAAAATAATTATAATATATTTAGAAATTTAAAAATAAGGTATAATAATTTATAACCAACGGTAATAGATGGGGCTTGGAAGTTATTGCATTTGAATGGTTTTTTCTGGGCTATTACATTGATTGTATGTAATTTAGAAATTAATTTCACAAAAAACAAAAAAACCAAATATCAAAAGTTTAAAGAGCATTTTTTTTGTATATTTAGTGTTTTTGTAGTTTTAAGAGCATATTTCTTATATTTTACCATTTTTAGAAGTATATTCAATAATTATTCAAAATAATACAACCGAAAAATTCAGTAATAAATAAATAAATGCGTTAATTTTGAAACTTTTTACAAGGTATTATTGAATAGAGTTTTTAAAATATTTATCTAATAGCTAGTGTTAAAATACCATTATATTCTATAGAACATTTATTGAAGGAATATTTTTCAGCTATTTATTTATTTTATTTTATTATATTTTTTTATTTATTAATTTTTGAATATTATATTCAACAAAATTATCGTAAATATTATTTAATTTAAATATTTTTTAATTGAGTCCTAAGGGACTTTTCTAATTTTTATTAATTTAAATACATAATTTCATGTAAACATTTTAAAAGAAAACAATTTTATTAAAGTAAAATTTTTCAAGAACCATAAATAAATGAATAAATAATTATTATAATTATAACTATAATAATTTATAAATACATTTTTTTTATTTTATTGCACTTGTTTTAATATTAATTTCTAAAAATTTTGTTTAAAAATAAAAATTTATTTACATAAGTGGGTATATTAATTTAATATAATTATAAAGGTACCTTAATAAAATTTAGAAACCTAAGAGTAACTATGGGCATAGTTAAATTAAATATTTATATTTATGAACTTTTGTATAAAAAACAAAATTTATAAGTGCATATTTGTACTTTTTAAATGCATAAATGCAAGCATATCTAGTACTTTTTGTAAAAGTATTAATATTCTACTCAAGGATTCATTTAACGTAAAACACAAATTATTTCACAAAGAAATGACTTTTTCAAAAACGTAAAAAAAACAGGAACCACTAAAATTTTACTTTTATATTATTTAAGAAATCTTCATTTTTGGAAGAACCTTTTCATTTCTCCCAACATTTAAATTTTAGGTAATCACCTACTTTTGATTTTCAAATAACAACTTATAGACTATAGTTAAAAATCTATAAATTGATGAAACATTATTAGTTTCAATAAATGTTGTTGTTTATATTATTTTTGATTTCCATCAACATGCTGTACAATTATTTCATTTTTAAGTTTAGGTAGAAGAAGAGTAGTAGAACACTATCAATCTGCAAATACAAACTTTCACACAAATGATGCTCCACTATTCCCCTCTACCACAACTTAAAAGTGGAATATCTCCACAACATTGACAAAAATCAACAATTTCAACACATTTATTTAAACTAATACTCCATCTATTTATTGAATTTTTAATATAGGTTACTGTTTGAAGATCAAAGGTAGGAAATTGTTTCATCCCTAAAAATAAAGGTGATAAAAAATAGTAGAAATGTATCATTTTAGAACTCCTTGTTTTTTTAATTATCAAACAAAGTAGATTAAAAAGTTAATACTTTGCAAAATAATGAATGTTTTACATTGAATCACTCTGTATTTATTTTTAAAGTAATAGAAAGTAAAAATTATCTAGTAGGTATTTAATATTTAATACTTGAGGTATCAGGGTCAGAAATTAGATAGGTATCCAAATTCTAGAATATAGTTAATGAATTGTGGTAAAAGTGAGATTCCTATTAAATTGAATATTTTGCTATAAATTGAACAATTAAAAGACATAAAATTAAAATTAACTAAGAATTGGTTTTGCTGTCAACCATAACTAATTTCATCTAGATTATAATGAAAATTGAGAACATTTTAATATGAAAAAATAATATGTACAATATAGTTCCATAATAGTTTCATATTAAAGTGCCATACTGTCATCAAGTAAAATAAAGCTTAATTGAATAGAAAACAAATGTAAATCATTTATAAATACTTACAATGTGTACAAAATAAAGCAATTTTAGGACATTTACTCTAATTGCATAAGGGCTGCCTTTACACACACACACACACACACACACACACACACACACACCCACACACACACACACACACACACACACACAACGAGTAGGTACTTATCAAACAGGTCTAATTTGGAATAATACTTTTAATATGTGAATATAAATGATTCAATTTTAAACAAATATTCATGTAATCCAAACTTGAATAATTTATTATTAATTAGATTATTATTGACTTTATTAAAGCTAGGCTTTTTGGTGTCTGTGTAACTGTGTAATGCATACATTCACAGATAAGATCAATTTTCTAAATTTATATTATAAAATATGTTTGAAAAATATTATAAATAAAAAATATTAAGTTAGAATCATATTATATTACCTATTTAATTAGTAGACATTGAGTGTTAAGTCATAGTCATATTAAAGAAATAAATGAAGGTCTAGGTTAATTTAGATATAAACTTTGTTACCTATACATAAATTATAAATTATTCATCATCAGGCATAAAATTATTTTTTAGTGTAATAATCAAATTTATACTTCAGGATGGATGGATAATTCATTAAATTCTTATTCAAAATATTAAAAATATTAAGATAGGCATAATGTAATAAAATAATTGTTTAACTTTAGTTTGAGCATTACCTAGTTCACATAAATTAATATATTAAATTGACGGGTTTTCAAAAATCAAAATTATTAGACCAAGTAAGATTATGATTATGTACCAACAATTTTACATGTTTGTCTTAACATTTCTATAATGTAATTTTATATCTAATATAGATATATTTGTTAGTATATCAAAATTCAATTTACCCTGCATAATTACAGATTATACCAATTAGTATTAACAGTATAGACAGCAATTATTAATTCTGACATTATAGTTTGGTTTGTACAATCTTTTGATTTTCTTTTTTTTTTTTTCTTTTTCTTGATTTTCGTTTTGGAACAACTGGTGTGCTTGGTGGTACAATAATTGACAATTTTGATGGAGAACTTGTAACATCTTCAAAACTCAATTTTTCTATAATTTCTTCACATAAACTAGATGAACTCTCATCACTATAATAATACAAATAACTACTTTAAAATAAAATGACAATAGAATAATAGTTATTAAGTAAACGTTCAAACAAACTTCTATAAAGTTAAAAATAAACATCTAAAGGGTAATGTAATTTATAACTTAAAAGGAAAGATGTACCATTGCAATTAAAAAACGATTCTGGGTGGAATAGTGTTTATAAAATTGGTCATATTTTTCACTTGAAGCCAAAGTAATTCTGCAGAAATTAATAAAAATAAAACTAATACATATCAATATTTTGAGTTTAATTTTTTTAATTTGTTGGAAAAACTATAGGGAAACAAGACGTTTTTCAAAAAAGAACTAATTTTTTAAAAATTGGCATCTTTAAAAGTGATGCAAATAATTTGGAGCATTTTTTTTAACCAAAAAAGTTTTTTCCAAGAAATATAAACAAAAAAAGGACATGTGAACTGGAAAATCAGAATATTTCACTTGCCATAAATTTGTTTTCAAAAATAACATAAAGCTCAACTTTTGGAAAAAATTCAGGAAATAACTATTAATAGTTCAAATTAAGTACCATTTACTACAAAATGATATTTTTTAAGGTGCTATATGAAAAAATCAAGAGTTTTTTTACTAACAAAAAAAGTTTCATATGAGCAAAATAAACTTTAATAAGATTAAAAGCTTCTTTGCTACACTCAGAATCTAAAAATAATACAAATAATATTCAATTTATTATTTTAAATGTGCCTATTTTATGCATCTATTATAATTTGTATGTATAATAAAATGTAACACAAAATCTATATTAAATTTACTAAATAGGATTTTAATACTTAAAGCAAATAATTTATTGTTTTATAAGAATTAATCATTTTTAAAAACAACAAAAATTTATTTTTTCCAATAATCATAATTTTGAAAAAGAAACATCTCATTAAGAGAAGGTCATATCAGAATTTACTGTCTCCATCATACAACCATGTCTGTTTAATTGGGAGAAATCTGTACTGTTAGTTTCATTTTTATAATTCTAATTATCTATTATCAGTGTGTGTTGTTTTTTTTTTCAATTATTCACAATTTAATAAAAAAAAAACGACAACATAACACACACAATGTTCTTATCTTTAAGTTTGATAATAAGTTAATTTATTGTGATATTAAAACTAACAGACTTTTTCCTACTAACCAAAGTCATATGAATCAATGATTGAAACAGCACATGAGAGTATAGCGTCCTCTTAAACATAAAAATATTGTACCAACAAGAGCATTGAGTTATTTAAAAACTGAAAACTAATATCCGGTTAAATATTTAAAAATACATTTACATTTACATTTAAATTCAATTATATTTGAGCTATTTATAATTTTTGTACAAAGGCAAAATTAACAAAAGGAGCTGATAATGGGGATGGGAGCAGATGCTGCTGTAGATGAGAAGTTGGGAAGGTAGGATACATGAGGTTATTTCATTTATATAATTAAGCAACGATAAACCATTGCTTGATGAAAGACGATTCCAAGTACAGTTTAGTTATACATAATTTGAAGTGCAGTAATATTTTTTGCTATTTTTATTTAAATTGATTTCAAAACCTGTTTTTTTTTTTTAAAAAAAAGTTCTCTAATGATTTTGGACATTTTACCACGTCTAGGTAAGTCCAATAAAAGTATTATTACCAAGTTTCAAGTCTTTACGTATTTATAACCGAATTACAGCAAAAAACTCAAAAATTAAAATTCTTTAAAACCTTAAAAATGGCTCAAAAGTTTTGACCGTGATACCAATAGAAAGTAAATTTAACGGGTAATAAAAAAGGTAGCTTATGATTTTCAATTAAATTATTTTTTCTGGTAGAAAACATCGTCCGTGTTTTTATAAAATAATGAAATCTTGAAATTGTACGTTTTCCTACAGTTTTCCCCACTTAAGTGCTTTTGTTTAAAGTATCATCAAGACAACTTGAGCTTTCAAATAAATAAATATACATAAAAATCGGAGAAAGTTTACCAGGAAAAATCGTGTCCACAGACTAGAACAAAGAAAAAAAAGAAATAAACATCTTAGTAAAACCAATAGCTCCCTCGCTACGATCGGAATTAAAATAAAATAGCTTATTTTCTACCAGTTAAATATTATGTAATTTACCTTGAATAATCAGATATCTCTATATTTTTAGGTTGCTCTGCAGTGGAACCTTGGTCCATTAGTCTGCTGCATATTTTTAATTTCATTCTTTCCTATGAAATGTCAAAGAAATATATAACACAATAACACTAGCGTAGTAAATATGTTTGGGTTAATCGGTTAATGGTTTATGAAATATAACAAACATTGCGTGGATTTTCATTATAGTAGTCCAATAAAGTTTCACAAAACGTCTGTCCGATATCTTCGAAATCTTTGGTGTTGAGATGAGTGTTCGCCCGGGAACCAAGAGTCGAACCGCAAAATGAAGCTTCAATTGTGTAGCTATTTTCGACACCCATCAACCATACAACAACTCGAGCCGTATTTTCTTTCGATCGTTGTATATTAAAGTTGCAATCTTCAAATGAAAACTAATAGAAACGAAACAGTCAATGTCAAAAAAAAATGTATTATTAAAACGTATTGATAGCATTATTTTTTTATGAAAATTTAACTATATTACCTTATCCGGAGCATTTTTATGTAATAAAAGTGGAAAAATCTGTTCCTGCAGTTTTCGTCCGTCGTGACCTTTTCCTTCGCAACCATACATAAAAATATTTGATTTTCTTGAATGCGCATGTAAATCACAAAACATCACAACCTGGCGTTCTTCTATTAGTCTTTTAAAAAAGTATAACTACAAGTAAATCTCAACGTAATTTATAGAAACCTAAAAGTATACCAACCTCCGAAGCATTAGTTTCGTATGCCAAATTACAGGATGTGCATCTCGGATGACGCTACGATATTGTCGATTTAAATCGCGTCCATTTAATGAACATCTACTGTTACCCACAATCACACCATCTGGGTTTAACATCGGTATTAACTTGAAAATAAAACGATTCCTTAATTCCTATTAAACATAATATAGATTTAATACATAATTATTAAATACAAATATCATTTTGTTACTAGTTTATTTGGCAAAAAAGTAATTTAGCTCTTAATCGATTTTTTGTAATTATTTTTTGAAAAATGTGTGTTTTTCATAATGGTTAATTTGATGGTACTTAAAAAAAATCTCAAACTCCCGTTAAAAATAATGGTAAAAAAAAACTTCAAAATGTTCGATTTCCAAAAATAATGTTTTTATGTATAAAATACCATAAAAATTACAATTTTTTTTAAATGTTATTATTTTTATGCTCGACATTTTGATGAAATCAGAATTTAATTTTTATGTTATTATCAATGAACTATGTAAAACTTAATTTTAAAGTTATTTCAAACATTTAATTTTTGAATTTTTAGTCCTGTCTAATAGCTAGAGACCGAATTTATATTCTTTTATAATCCACAAAAAGGCGCATTAAAACCTCAAAAAATCCCTGCAAAAAAGCATTTACATACATTTTAAAAAGCAAAAATGATAGAGTAGTTTAAAAGCCCCCCCCCCCCACTAATGGCTCTAACTTATTAAATTAAATTACCTAACACTACAAAATTGATTCATACAAAATAATTTCTTTTAAATAAAATCGTAAATAGTATTTAAAAAAAGTTACTTTTTCTTTTTTATTAGAGACGTAATAACACAATATTCCTCAGTCATTACACAAAAAAAAAAAAATAATAATAATAATATACTAACAAAAAAATATTATAAAGATAGTCTTCCTAAATAAAAAAAATTAATTATAGCATGGATGAGGGAGAGTTAATTATATTAATCACTGTAGCAGTGTTAAGGTACGGTTTCCAAGGCGCGACGGGTCGCGGAGACCAGTCTCGACGTAAAGACGTAAAGAAAACCGTCAAATTCTGTATCTGTATTCAGTATCATTGTGGTTTTCGTGCAGTGAGAGCTAGTGTTTTAAAGTTAAATTGTGCATTTACTACTATGAGTATGAATACAATAATAAAATAATGTTACTTCTTCTTGAAGAAGAGAAAGAGGATGATGATTTATTAATTACAACACAATGCGATCAGAGAGAAAAAGTTGATGCTCTTTTTCTTAATAGAAAAAGTGAAGGATACTTTGAAATGTTAATAAATAGACATTTATACGAAATGAAACAAAATTTCGCGAGGTTTTTCGTGTTAATAAAAACCATTTCGATCAGTTATTGTTCTTCTCCCGAAAAATGCAATTTAGCCATATTGCTGTACGGGACAGTCGAAATACACTACCCAAAAGCTGGTTTGTGAATGAAATAAATCAACGGTCGCGCGTGACAGTCGCAATACACTGCTCTCGGACCGGTAGTGTCACCGGTCGCCACGTAAAGTTGAGTCGCTCGTTGGAAACCAGTCAATAGGAATTACATACCAACAGTCGGACGGCGATTGTCGCGGCGACCGGCGCGCCTTGGAAACCGTACCTTTAGAAATTGTATTTATAAGTTAAATCCAGTAGATTTTTTGACGTTTTCAAGTGTTTTCATGTGGATTTTAAGAGCAGAGCATATAAATCGGTCTCTAGTAAGAACATATTATAAGAAGCATTATAATATCAAACAAGTTTTAAATGTTAATATATTAGTATACGGAGTGATCAATCTATCTATCTATCTATCTATCTATCAATCTAACTTTTTTAGAAATTTATTTTAAAGAACATCTAAGAAACAAGCTGTTTTAAAATTTTACATTTACATTATTTTTTGCCACCCTAATTTTTGGGGGTAAAACGACTACCTGCTTTCAATTTTCATATGGCAACATATATTTAAAATTTCATAAATAGATGGAGTAGTAGTTAAAAACAATTTTAGTATTTAAATTTGTAATTTCCATAAATCCGTTAACGAGATATTCCACTTTTAAGTTTGGGTCGGGGGAGAGTAGTGGAGCATCATTTGTGTGGTGGCACAACGCGCGGGGTTTCAATAATGTACTATTTGATTTACTTTCTAACAGTATCATCGCCAAAACTTTGGAACCACTTTTGAGCTTATAAGGAATTTTAATTTTTAGGAGTTTTTTTATTGTAGTTCAGTCATAAATACACGTAGAGATTTGAAACTAAGTAATAATACTTATATTGGACTTACCTAGATGTGGTAAAATTTCCAAAATCATCAGACGACTTTTTTTTTAAAAAAAAAAGGGTTTTAAAATAAAATTTAAACAAAAATCGCAAAAAAAATTATGGAACTTATGTATACAAATTATGTATAAGCAAACTGTACTCGGAATCGTCTTTCATCAAGCAATGGTTTATCGTTGCTTACTAATATTAATTAAATAACCTTATGTATCCTACCTTCCCAACTTCTCACCAACAACAGTGGTCGCTCCCATCCCAAATATTAGCTCTTTTTTTTTCTATTATTTAACCACTTATTAACATAAAATATACATTTGCATCTTATAAAACTACGTACAAAATTACCTTTGCTTGTAATGAATCGCCAGTAAGAAAATCAATAAACCCTTTCATCATCCAAGAAGATGGAGTTTCAGATGGGTGCACACGAGCCGTTAAAACAATGACTTTTTTTTGCTACAATACATCCCATATATTATACAATTACATAAACAATAATAATATCAATAGGCAGTGAAAATATAAAATTACTTTCGGATCTTCTTCTTGACAAGGTTCTGTGATTGTCAAGTAATGAACATTATTACCAGCTAAGGTACGACATAGAACTCTAAGCTTTGTAAAAACTGATTTAACTGGATCATCCTCCACAAAAAAAAAAAAAAATCCAAATATTTACTAATTTAAAGTATCAATTTGTTATTTAACATTTATTTATTAATATTTATTATTTAGTACCTTGAGCTTTATCAGATAGTCTTGTAAATTCATATAAGTATATGGATAATTGTAAGCTAAGTATACAGTATCCATATCATATGTAAATTCTAAAAGAAACGATAAGATATATCTTGGGTTATCCTCGCTGTCACCGTTACTGAAAATAAAAATATTATATTTTGTAAAACATAATATAAATAGTCTTATGATTTTTTAAGAAAATACAAATAAATAAGTAATCAAAATAATTACGGAGCGTCATTTCTATAGTATGCAATATTTTCTCCACAACGTCTCCAGCCCACATTTTTTTGACTGACTTCTTTTACAGAATACATCAATGGTTGCATGCCAGCAGTAAAAAGACTTTCAGATTTATACATATTGACAATTGAAAATCTAAAATAATTAAATATAAAAACAAAAATCATACCACCTACAAACATATACATGCTTTGCAGCGTTAGAATCATCACAACATAGAGTCATTTTTAATAAAAATAACATATTTATAATAATAATAATAAAGTTAAGTAGGTAAATAACATATATAAAATTTTTCCCCATACAACAGCTTTATAAATTGATAAATTTTTAATTTTCAATTTTATTTTACAGAAGCAATTATTTCAAACATTCCCCCCTCCCACATAACTTACTACAATTTATAAGTATATTGAATATTAGGTACAGAAATTCAATACCTATAAACAAAATAATTATTATTTTAAAGATTTCAATATTTCTTATTTTAATATCAATCATACCTATATTTAATGTTTTTTTTTGTATTTTCTATTCTAAAATAGAACCATTGTGTATGTCGATTCGTATACATATCCGATCTTAATGATAATTCATAATATGTGCTGGTGATTTTAACCACTTTTGCTAAGTTTCCTGATTCAAAACGTGATTCGAATATTAAATCTGAAGGATCTTCATTACTGTGTACTTGATAACATGTACTACCTCCAACAGCTGACCGACAAAACTGTAAGAGACTAAATTATACTCAACTAAAAAATACATAATATAAACTAGTAATTTGTTTTTACTTAATACATTTATTAGTCATTTATAATGAAATAGTTTTGCAACTTTAGTTCTTTAAATATAATATCATCCAGATACCTAGTCATTATTTCAATTGGAGAAGTGTGTTGTTCATTTTCAAAAATTACAAAACATCAAAATACAGTAAAACTTCTAAGACACCTCCGTGTAACAAGCATTTTATTGGTCTGGTTAAATTTTATGCCTCTATAGGAAACCTCTGTAAACCTCTGTCACCTCTAAATAGCGGTCATTATTTCCAGTTAGGTTAGGTGACCATTATATGGAAGTTTTACTGTAGTTAACTACTTTTAACGGTTTATTATTTAAACAAAAATCAAAATGTTATATTAAATAGAGAATAAAAAATTATAAAAACAAACGAACATACTTCACACAATGGGTGAATCACTGGAGTTGTAGGTAAAAAGTTTGAAAGGTAGAGAGGAAATGTAATACATATATATTTGTATGCAAAGATTAATCTTTTCTAACAAACAATAATTCTGAGCAAAGTTCTGTTATACATTATATGTTTTGAAAAACCATAATATTTACGATTTTAAAATAATACATTTTGTACATTTTCAATTTTTTTTTATGTTTTTTCTCGATTTTTCTGATTTATTATAAAAACTCCTGGAAAATCAAAAAAATGATCTTCTTAATATACTACGTCAATCAGATATACTTTCAGAAAAAGTACTATACTTTAAAATTGGAATAAAATTTATGGTAGGAAAGTTGTTACAGATAAAAAATAAAAAATAAACATCATTGTAAAACCAATACATTCCTCACTTCACTCAGAATCTAAACTAAAACTAATAATGTTTATTAATATTATTTATATTATGAGATATTAATAGGTATAAATAAATGTGTAACAGGTTTAAAATCAGAATAAGTAATTTAATATAAACATTAAGTGAGTGAACTCAAACCATGGGAAGTCAATATTCAGAAGGTCTATTTAGTTTAATCAGGAATAAGGCCTCTGGTAATTTTGATAGCTTAGCCAGAATTGGTTAATTATAGTATCCAATTCCCACTTCTAAACTGTATTATATAATAATAAAACTTAAAACTCACATAATTTACACTGCTGATAGGGTAATATTTGAATATCAACTCTCCTGAATCTTCACCCACTTGTTTAGGCTGAATTTCTTTACCAGTAAATTTATACAGAGGCTCTTTTTCTAAATAAGACGTGGATGTTGGATACACGTGAGACACAGGATCGTCTAATACCTAATTAAATATTGTACTGAATTTAAAAAAATTAAATAAATAAACTTATTAAAAGTAATCTGAGATTTATTTTCTATATTTAATAATTTACCCAATAAATATATACATACAGGGGATGTCCCATAGTGTTTTCCAAATGTTTATAACTCTATTAATATTTAAAGTTTTTTTTTTTACTTATTGGAATTTCTTTCAGTGGGAACATATATTTAGATATAAATTAAATTAGTATTATCACCCCTTAATCACCAGAAAAATAGTTTTTTATTTGTTCACTTTTCGAAATAGTCAATTTGTATTCTATATATTTAAATATATTATTTATTTATTTATTTAATTATTCAAATAACCGAACTAAATTACTATTAACGAATCTAATTTGAGATACATTTTTAAGGATGTAGAAATAAAACATAAAAAATTAATAATACTGTCATAGACAAACATTTTCTATAATTCTATAAGGAGCTGAAATTGTAAAATACTTTATGCCAACAAGGATCCATCTTTTAATTTTTAAGTTATAATTTGTACATTTTTTTTTTTTTTGCTTTTTGCCCTTTCTATTGATATATCCAACTAATGTTATGTATGCTTTATGCACTTTTAATTATATTAATTATTATTCTGTACTTTGTGCTGGTATTGAAATAAAAATAAAATAAATGAAAATTACATATCAAAGCAGCTCTCTGTGATGCAAAAATCATCTTACTATTAAACTTTATAAAAAACCTAAGTGTGATTTATTTAAGATATCCTATACCATACATATATGATTAGGTATGTTATATGTAATATATTAACATTTTTGAACTATCACTTTGAAGATTTAAGAAAGATAAATAAAAGGAAAACTTGATTATACACCAAAATAATTTAAGCTACATCAATGAATTTAATTTTAATACAAAATTTAAACTTAAACATTTATTTGATAATGTTATACTAATATAATTATAAAAAAAACAAAAACACAAATTTGTACTAACTTAGTAGTTTCAATATAGTATATTACATGTTTAAAAACATGTATCAAATAATTATAAAATGTACATTCATTTTTTACTCTTTTTACTTTTTACTCCAAATTTTTTATAATTCAAAGTTATTATATATATTATATATTACCTTAACATTTATTATGTAGAGTAGTAAACAGTGACTACTTCTACTTAAATATTTGAGGGAGATAATTTCTGTGTTTATGTTTTGAGATGGCTTATCCCATCAAACCTCTCCCCCAACGATAATGTATTCAGTCAATGAATAATACTTATTTACATAAAAATTGCCCAACATTTTAAGGCTAGTAAATAAAAATTCAAATTAAAACCTGTAATCTTTAAAGGGACAATTAAAATCGCATAATTTTGTTGAGAGATGGTTTAATTCAAAAGTTTTAGTTATCTTGTGTCAAAGGATTTAATTTTTAAACAATAAGATAATAGAGTTCCAGGCAGTCAGTAAAATCTAAAATCAATTTTTGTATCAATCAAGAAAGCCGGTGCATGGAGAAACTTTGAATTATGTAATAATAATATCAAGGACAAACTAATGGATGTCACTAATCAAAGATAAATTAAGAACATTTAAGTAAGATTCATAGGTGAGTGGTAATATTAAATTTAAATAAGATAAAACACAAAATATTATTTTGAACAGATTTGATAGCATTTTGCTATTAATTGAAATTAAGGGGCAATACTTTATATTGGATGAAACGAGAGAGCAGTATAGAGTGATTGTGCCACTGTACTCTGTAGATAGTTTCATTCAAATAACTGTTTTAATTTCTAGAGAAGATGAATACATTTTTTTTAATATGTGCATATGTATAAAAATAATGAATTTTAAAAGTAATAAATAATGCATCTTTCAAATTTCGGGAGGAGGGGGGTTGAATACTTAAACCCCAGTCCCTACCACTGTATACATGCCTGTATTTATATATTATAATGTACAAAAAAAATATCCCTAAATAGAAATGGTTTTTATAAGTTACGTTATCAATCATATACAAATGGAAATAATTATGTGTTTTATCAATTTTAATTAAAGGTCAAAAATAAATATTTAATTATTTCAAAATAAAACGAATAATAAATTAAATGCATCGTCAGTATCTCACTTGACACTCCATTGGCCATCTTGCAGCTTGGTATGGACAGTCTACTTCTTTCATTAATGGATAAACTTCCTTAACGTCCCTGAATTTTTGTGTTGTGTCAATGTCTGCATCCACATCAACTTGACTATTTTTCAATGTACGAGTCAATAAATTATTTAAAAATGTCCCTTTATTAAAATAAAATTTAAAAAGTCAATAAATTAGAAGGTGAAATACAGGAATAATTTCCTATTTTAAACATTTAAGGCACCGATTGTTTTATTTGTGTAACTATTATAATTTAAACAATTGTACATACAACACTTGTTTATATTAATTTTTTTTTTTTCACTTTTTCTCGATTTTCAAATCATATAATACTGAGAATTTTGAAAAAGACTTCTTTGTTTAATTATTAAATCTGTGTAACAATATAGAACTGCAGAAAAATCCTTTTAGAGTTTATTTTATCCAACAAAAACCGTACTCATTTTAAAATTATAATGACATTGGACCATACCTAAATACTATTCCTACTATAGCTTTGATCAGAATTTAAAATATAAATTTTTTTTTTTTATGTAAATTTACATAGATTGTATCTTTTTGATAAATGTTTAAAATAGTTAAAAATTAAAACAAAAAGGTCAATAATGTATAAATATTATATTATTACTCTGCATTATTTCATAATAATTTATTAGCAAACTGCGCTGGTTATAATATAAGAAACGAATTACAAAGTGGACGCTGTAGAGTATTCGGTTCCAACTAACTGTAGTTTAGGTAATATCAAACACAATACACAGAAATCGAACGAATAACAGCAGTTTAAAATATATAATACTCTATTGTACACTAGAATAAAGTAAGTAGGTACCTACCTACCTAGATAAGTATAAAGTGGGTATAACTTTAATCGTAAATTGATTCCGTTTGTAATACAAAATATTAATATTAAAACATTTAAAACAATGACATTTTGGCATGTAACGACCCATTAGTCAAAAACAACATACAATAATGTTATATACCTATATTAAATTGATTAGTTCTAGAAGATACACTGCTGCTGTTAAACATTTTATCGTGTGATAGCACGAACTCATAAACCAAATATTATTATAGGCATAGTATGAAATATAGGTATGTACCTAAGTAGGTGTTTGTACCAATGTATTATTTTGCTACGGTAAAAATTAAATTGTGAGGTACACTTATTATATTTTCATTGTCGCGATTGACATGTGAATATAAAACATCAAAAATAATTGTACAAAAAAAGGGTTCCTGCAATATTTTCACCAAATTTATTTTACAGTGTATTATAGATACCTTTATTATAGATTATAGGTATACATTTTAAAATAGCAATAGATACCTATATAACTGCTGGTATAGCTAATACCTACCTATATATAACAGTTGACGAGACTTCTGTAATATAGGTAGATACATATTTATCCGAACATTTTTTTCAAAACAACCTAGGACCTAGGTAAATGAATTTAGTCACATAGATTGTTGACAATCGCAATACAATTTTTGTATGAAAATATTGCCTATACCAAAGTACTATTTCTTCAGCGAAACATCAATACTTAAATATTTGAGATGCCTGCCTATTTATTTTTCCATCTCAATTTCAATATTATAACTTGAAACGATCGCGCAATTATTTATATGCTGAAGTAAATGTGCCTATTAACACTAATAATAACACAAAAAATGCAAATGGTCATTTATGATATAATAATATTGTTACAATAGGTAATCGTACACATGTAGGTACCTATTTACCTAAAAGAAATTTGAAAAACGTGCTCGAATATGTATATATATATATTTTTAAAAATACCGTGAAAATTATAATTAAACATAACAATATTGTACCTTTTGTACAAATGGGGAATAGCGACGCTTGCAAATCTTTGACCTGTGTCATGTGAACGTCCGCGTTGGCCTCGTCCATGATTCAAACTCGCGACACACCGCATTTCCATCAACATTCGTCAGGTTACTACGGTGACAACATACCCGTTAGACCGATCGATATATAGTAATATTTGCCACTAGCAGCTAGTTAAAATTACTTAAATACTTCAAACCGTAGGTATATTCATGAAACCTAGCACAGCAGCACACACTATATTATAGCTAGGTATCCATACAATATATATGAGGGGTGTCATTTCAGTTTTTTTTTTTATAAGGGGGTCATATCACATGATCACCTCCGGGGTCCCACTTTTGGCCCCAAACTAGCTCGGGCATTGCCCATTTACGTCAAAAAAAGGTAATCGTTTTGGGGTACAGCCCATTTGCTCTAAAAGAAAACAGTAACTTTTTTCTAACCGCCCATTGGCACCAAATTTACCTGTGTATATTACACGAAAGTTATTTAGATTCTCAGTGGAATTAAGCTTATGACTTTACAATGGTGTTTATTTTTTTTTTTTTATCTGTGAACAACATTTCTACCAGAAATATTGCTCCGATTTACAAGTGTAGCACTTCTTCTGAAAGGAAATCTGACTGGGTTGGTATTTTAAAGAAGTTATTTTTTTGATTTTCCCAGAATTTTGGATAAAATGCGGAAAACCGGTAAAATATAACTATAAAAGCAATTTAAAACTATAAAAATAAAAACTTAACAACATATAAATACGTAAAAATAGTGGAATTTAATTACAATAAAGATTAGGTTAGGTTAGTTAATATTGGTTTAGTATTAGTAGTTTGTATTAATAATAATTTTTTCAAAACTGCTTTTAAAAACATTTTATTAAAAATATGGATTATTGAATATTATTATTTATTTGTAAACAATTTTTAAATTTATTCACAATTATTGTAAAAATTGATTTGTAATATTTGTATAATACGTATTTATTTAAGTGCTAAAAATAATAAAAATTCACAATTATGTTAAATTGACTATCGTGTAATCGTTGTTTTAATAAAAATCTATATTTATTTAATATTATTAAAAAAAAAAGTAACATAAAATAACTTATAAATAAGTTAAAATAATTTGTGTTATCGTGTAGCGAAAAAAGTACCCTTTTTATTTTGGTGCAAATGGGTAATTCCCCATAGCTCCAGCCCTTCCAGTAAGTATCAATTAAGTTTATTTTTAGTGATCATAATTTTAATGCAATTTCAAAAGTCAAAGACATAAAAATGTTACCTAGCTCAACTTAAAATAAAATAAATCTGTACCATACCAAAATAATGTTTTTCTAGCTACTAATTAAACGTTTTAATTTTAATATTTTTTGTTAGGTATATAGTATTACACAATAGTAATAGTTTAGTAAATATTAATAAGTAACCAGTAGATAAACATTATATGTTTACATGAAAATGATGTCACAATAATCAAACAATTATTAGAAATAAAAACATGTTTTTTCTAAGCTAGTAATTTTAGGTAGACCGGAAAATGTAAATAAAATTGTATTAAAAAAAGAAGAATAAATAAAATGGGGTTTTCTCTTGTGATCGTGTGGTATGGTCTACTGGACAACTATATTAAAGTTTCATCTTTTAAAATCAGTGTGTAGGTACTTAATACCTTATTGCATCAATATTTGGCCATCAAAATATATTGTTTTATGTATCCAGTATTATAACTTTGTAATACACATTAAATTATTACAATTCCTCCCTCATAAATTAAACTCAATTTCAAATGGATAATGTTTAGCTACATCACCACTGCGTGTTTACAACTAGTTTGAAGTATGCTAGGTATTAAAAAGTAACTGCTTATAGAATATGGATCTAACAAATTGTAACAATTAAATGAAAAGTATCACCAAACATAAATAGTTTGGTTCCATAGTTACACTAATGTCCCAAACATTCCTATAAATGTGAAATGTATATTTCCACAACTATATATTTAGGGGTCTATGTTTCAACACCCTCCTCCCCCATCATTGGTTGCAAAGCTACAATGCATTATGTGTTATAGTTTGAATAAAAATATTAAAATGTGTTTAAATAAACGCATACTTTATATTATAGCAGTAAACTTTTTTTTGAAAGAAATCTATTGAGAAAATATCCTTCCATTGAGGAACAACTTCCATAAAAAAAATATTTATTAATTATACTACCTAATATTAATAACTAACATGCATGTACAAATAATAAAACTAAAATGCATGAGTGAATAATTGTTTAGATTCTGAGTGTAGCAAAGAATGTATTGGTTTTACAAAGATGTTTATTTTCAATATTTTTTTTTTTTATGTGAACACTTTCTACCAGAAAGCTTACTCCAATATATACGAAACTTATCTGAAAAGTAATTTTCTTGGAGTGGTACTTAAAGGAGGTCATTTTTCGAGTATCTCATCAAATTTGAAAAAGCAAAGAAAAAACTGCAAAATGTACAAAATATATTAAGATTTTTTTTCCTTTCGCACAACTTTTCTACCAGCAATTTTGCTCCAATCTACAATGATAGCAATGTTTTTAAAAGGAAAGTTTATCAGGGAGGTTCTTTAAAAAGGTCATTATTCGGTTTTCTCAGGAGTTTCCTCAGCAAATATGAAAATCTGGGATAAAACATGAGAAAAACTGGGAAAACCTTAGATAAACTGGAAAAATCAGTACAACATTAAATAAATATTATTAAAGAAAATATAGAAAGCCTATTTAATTATTTTACTAAAACATGACATATATATTATTGATAAAGCTTTACTATCAACTGAACTCAACTTAGAATCGGTTTTCATAAGCAATTTTTTATCATTACTTATAGATATACATTGATTCGCTTCTGTATCCTACTTTCCCAATTTTCCACCTACAACAGTGACTGCACTCACATAAAAAGTATGTTAGTTTTTTTTTATCACACTTTTATTAAGACTAATATAGTATTATAAATTATAAATACCAGAAATAAAATTTCCAGCATAAATATTGTTAAATTGTATTAGCTACTTGATAAACTGACAAAAAATGATCTATTAAAATAAAAATGATTGGTAATTGTGATTTATCAACTAATAACTATAAAATTAGGCAAGGCATTATTTTACTGATCTGCTTGCATAATATATAGAATTTATAAGTTTCATTTTCTTTTGTAATTTTTTAAAGGGTATTTGTTTAAATACTGAATGATCAACATACAATAAGACACTCAATGTTTCAGAAAGATTCAGAAAATTAAAAGTAAGGGTTTTAACCATTAAAATAACAAAAATTGTAACATTTTAATGTCAAAATTGTAATGATTAAAAAATAAATTTCAAAAAAAAGTTGATACTAGAGATAATAAGTGTCTTATATTATGTTGATCACTCTGTATAAAACTTAACAAAGTATTTGCCTACTTAAAGTTAGATATTAGGTATATGACAATAAATGTATTGAGCTAATGGAAAATCTTGAAAACAATAACATAACATGTTTGTAAAATTTAGATAAAATAAAAAAAAACAAATTTAGTTGGAAGAATAAAAATCAGAAGAATAAGCTGAACATGTGTAGTAAATACAAGGACAACAATCATAAATAAAGCTAGACTTTAGTTTTAGCATGTGATTTTAGTAGTCATGATTATAAACTATAATACTGGAAATTTAATTTAAAGATCAATATCATTGTTATTTTAAATAAATACAGTGATTTTAATACTTGAAAATTTGTTTTAATTTTTTTTTTTAATTTGGTTAGGCATTAAATACATAGGTATAATAAATGAAAAATAAGTTTTCTAAAATTTGGTAAAAATTTGAACAGTAGATGTTTATGTGTTAAAACATACCAGACATACTCTATATCTCCGCCTATATAACTAATTAAGGAAGTCACAAAATATGGACATCAAAAAGCAAAAGACCACTAAGACATTCAATATAGAGACATATAGTTAAAATTCATAAAGTTATAAATATTCTAAGAGTGAACAATGGAGATGATTTCTCATAGAGATTAATAGAGGAAAAGTGGTTGCATCAAAGAAACTAAAATATAACCTATTCTAAGCCAAAAAAAAACAATTATTCATTCTTATTATAAATACTAATTACTTTTGTACTTACTATTCCTTATTCTGAGTTATTAGAATGAATGTCAAAAAAAAAAATGTCACCACTGTAGATTTTTTGATATTTCCAACTCCGTCTTGAGCTTTTGTTTCGACTAATAGTGTTATAAATCCTAAATATTAACAATTTTAGTATTATGTAAAATATGACCACAAATTATTTTAAAATAATCTATGATATAACTATAATAGATCATATTTTTAGGTAATGTTATTACTTATCAGAATAATTAAAATTGAATTAATATGTCAATTATCAAAATCCTTTTTTTTGGTGATAATATTTTATACAGAAACACTCTATTCTAAAACTTCAGGTGACTGCATATTCATGAGATTTAATATTTTTGTGTAGTACCAAAAATAAATTTAAATATAAAAAATGTTTTTTTTAATAATATTATAGTTATTTTAAAGCAATAAAAAAAAAATCCCTTTTGACTTTTTGAAAAATAAAATGATTTATAAGTTAAAATAAATAATTTATTATTTAAACAAAATTATCATTGAATAAAATGATTTATAATGTATTAATATAATAAAATATACTTAAAGTCTGGTTTATATTTTTTTTTTTTAATGAAAATGTATAATAAAAATTTTTTTAATCACAACAAGGCTACTTAATTGTTTTTAACCCTTAATAAAACAATATCAGACTAAGTAAAAACTATGCAATTCAATAAACAAATCATTGATTTAAGGTTTAATGGATGTTTTAGGTATTTGTTAAATATTAATAAATATCAATAAAGTTTTAAAAGCAACACATAAATTTAAAATTAGAATCAATAAAAATATAATGGAAAATGTATTAATAATAATATTAACCAAGTAATATTTTAATCATTTGCTTTCAATAGTAAATTGTTTAATAAACTGTTCTTCGAGAGGGTGTAGTGTACCAACAATGACCATTGAATGTAATGGTGGTCCCAAATCTACATTAACCATTTCAGCTAAAGTCCCAGCAACAATTTTTTGATCTGGCCATCCAATGCGAGCAGCACCCACACAAAATGTTTCTCGACTAACATCTATAGTAGAAATTAAAGATAATTTTTTATATTTTTTAATTAATCCATTATTACTAACAATTCTTTCCATCAAATTCGTTGTTGTCGATAATTTGTAAAAGTTGCGAACATGCTTGGTTAACTTCCATAAATCTAGGTGGTTGATAGACTTTGGTTTTTTTGGTTAAACTTTCCCATGTGGGTTCTTTAACTTGAATATCTAGAATAAGACCAAATTAAACAGGTCGGTACCAAAAATTAAAGATTTTTCAGAAAAAAAATATATAAAAATAAAATTAAAAACAAAAACTACCCAAGAGATTAATGATACATCCTTAGTTTTTGTGAATATTATATTTTTATTCCATATAAATTAAAGAAAAACATACCAAGTAAACATAATGTATGTAAACCAATTGCTTTATTTTGATTGATTTTGTTTATAAAACTGGAAGGTTTCCAATTATCTGTCCAAAAGGGTATTGATACTGTCTCTCCAAAATGATATAGCTAACCAAAATATAATAGTTAATCAAATAATTTATTAACATTTATTGAATATTTTAAGCTTAATTAATATTGTAAAAACAAATCCTAAATTGTACGACTGAAAATGTCAAGACTGTAGCAACCAAATATTGCACCAGGGTGAAAACCTTTAAAATACACCCCTATTAACTCTTATTTATAATGAAAATTCAAAGCACAAAGATTTTTACAAACTACAATCAAATGAATGTTTAAATTATCTCATTTTTCACTATTGAATTACTTAAATTTTAAATTGTTTGTTTATTCATTTTTTTTTTTTTTTTAACATAATATTTGAAGGTTTTCAATGTATTTTTCTATATCCATTGTAATATCTCTGGAGATAAAAAAAATAAACAAACTCTGGTTTTTTTTTTATATATATACACATTACTCGCAGGGATAAGGACTACAAGTATTTATATTTCAATTAATTTTTTATTGTGGTATTTTTATTAAGTACAGCCAGTAAACTTATAGTTATTCTTTCTAAAAATGTAAACGTATTAACTTTTTATTTTCTCTAAACTTTAAACCATTATTAAAAACCACAAATTTAATGAAAATAAAAAGTTGAAATGTCAACATTTTAAGAAGAATAAACTCTATGAAATGGCTATTTTTAAATTTTTCAAAAATAATAAATAAAAAGTAATTTTTTTTGTTTTATTTACCTAAACATAACAATTTAATTCAAATATAAATATTTGTAGTCCTTATTCTAACGAGTAATATAAATAAAAACAGAATTTGATTATTTTTGTTATCTCGGGAGATATTGCAATGGGTATATCTTTGTGGGACACCACCTGTATATACATATATAATTATTATATTAAGGTTTAAACTTACTTGAAGTCCACAACATCCAATGGCATTTATAATAGAAGCATTATGAATCACTTTAGTTTCAATTTTTAAATCCTGAGCTCTCAATAATATATCAGTATGAGTGGTAGCTCCAAATGGATCTCCAACTACTAATAAAACTACGTCTTCCGTGTCAGCATTATTTAATATTTCATCTGCACCTTGTTCAACTAAATTACGATCTGCTTCGATTAATGACCTTTCGTAAAACTGTTCCTATTCACAAAACAATACATATTAGGTACCTATGTATTTTAAATTAAAATATAAAACTTTACATTTTACAAATTATGAAAAGTTATAATTGATTAGTAATACTCTTAAGTATAAGTTACTACTTATAAAAACTTGGTTTAAACAATTACTTTTAAGATATTCAGTACCTTTAATCGTTTATAAAGTCCAAAATAAATAATAATTTTGTAAAACAATTAGGTAATTTTTCAAGTACCTATTTAAAACTTAAAATTCTAATTCAATTTAGAACATGTACTCCATTACAGAAAAATAAAATTTATATTCTTGAATCATAAAGCTGCATACAAAATTAGTATTAACTAATTGAGTCTGTTAAATAATAAATACAAATTATAATTTTCTATTTTTTTGATATTTGAAAACAAGCTGAATCTAGATTATATTGAATAATTACAAATCAGCATTATTAAATCATACAAAATTCATAAGTAGATAACATCTAAAATATAATAATAGATAACAATTAAATTAAATAAAATTGACGAACCAGTTGAATTTTATTTTCTGGCAGTATGGATGTATAGGATTCTAAATACACCCTTTTAGCACCTCGAACTATTTCCAGGCCTCGGACTGTAATATCTTTGACGTCTCCTAAACCTACGCCAACAATGTAAAACATGATCGTTAACTATAGCTATAACTCTTGAACTAGCAAAAGACATAAAAATCGCGATTTACTATTTAAATAAAAATTACATGTTATTATCATTTTACTTTTCTGTTTTAAAGTTTAACGTGGTTATCTATGACCAGTAATCATGTACCGCGGTTAAAAGAACGAAACGAGCTATGATAATGGCTAAATACTACAAGTCGTTTTTCGGAGGAATACATTTTTTGGAACCGTATATAATTGCCTATATAGCTCCTTCATTTCTGATAGGATTTTTTTGATAACAAAGTATCCATGTTCTTATCAAATATCCAGTATAAAATGTGCATTTTGCGATTATTAAGCCGAGTAGGTAGATATTAACATATGGTCTACAATGAATAATTGGATAGATCGGAATTTATTTAATAATTAAATAGTCTTTCTTTCGACTTTTGAGTATAAAAAAGAATAATATTATAATTTTAATATTATATAATGCATAATAGGCCTGTCACATAGGTATAATAGTTTGATGAAAAATACGTTGGTAGGTACTACATAATCATACGTTCATTTTTCAAAAATAATAAGAATTTTATTCTACGGTTGGCGGATAAATGTAGGCATACGACTTTCGCGCAATCAAAAAGTACATTTTATTTTTAAACTAACTAGGTACCTATACTTATATGAATTTTTTAAATGAAATTTGTAATGCATTAGTTTGTCTACATCAGTATTGGCATATTCGTTTTTTTCTTTTTACAACTAAAATAATGATCGTCAGATGAAAGGATATTTGAAACGCCAATTGTATTGTTTGGTAAAGGAGTATCTTATTATATTATAGTTCACCAAGTTAGCTTCTTCATTATCTACTTAATATGCTCTATAAGAAACTGTATAGGCAATTTTATATACGGCTCCGAAAAATGTATTCCTGCGTAGAGGTCAAAGCACAAAATATATGAGATCTATTTCATATATTCTATGGTAAAAGTCCCGCGAAAAATGCAAACAATCTGCGCCAATCATAATTTTGTACAATAAAATAATATGGTCCCCGATCAATTTTCCATAGATATCCCAGTATTGACCAGTATTGAATCCCTTAATTTTTTTTCATGTAAAACTACCCCTTCAATAATCATTTAATAGAACTCGAATAATAGGTATCTAAGTATGATATACCTACAGTATACAAAAAATGTGTAGTTTTTGGCGATCAAATATCTAACAATAAAAAAAAAATACATTTCTTTTACGTTGTTATGATTTTGTTCACCATAGTAACGACATAATATTACGCACTTTCATTGATTTTTTTAATCATTACATTAGATTCACAAACATCAAACACTTTTTTTGTTAAAGAATTAAACATCTTATAATAATTATTAAGTACTTTTATTTATGTTTAGTATATAATACAATATGTTCAGTGACAGTCCAGTTGTGGTAGTTGGTTTCAATCATGCAGACACAAATATTAAAGGGTTAATACAAAAAAATTTAAAAAAAAAACTATATCATATTTTTTATTTTTAAAATTATTTTATGTTTCATTAGAAAATCCGAAGTATCATTTCAACATAATGGACTTTACACTGAAGACAAAATTTGCGAAACTATTAATGTGCATACAATAGCAGTTGGTGAATTATTAATTTAGTTACCAATTTTTTTTTACTGTTTTCAATTTTTTTTTTTTTTCTAGACACAGACTGATGAAGTTGATTGTATTAATATTGGGACTATTGATTTTGTTGCAGTTAAAAACTGTTTAGAAAGAGGTTTAAGATTTTTAAAGACAGAATGTAATGACAGTTGGCCAAATATTGCAGACTATTTTGAAACAACCGACAAAGATATCAATTATGATGAAATCATTACATTATCTCTAAGCCAAAATCCTTTATTCAGAATAGTAATCATCTTAAAAATACAATATTGTTTAAAATTAATTATTGCTATACGTGTATTTATTTTCATGAACATTTTATCAGTTTTTGGAACTTAATAAATTTGATGCATTTTAACATCACAATTAAAAAAAAAAAAATTAATAATTTTTGCTTAGATTATATTTAGTCATAATAAATTTTTCGTTTTTAATTTTGAATTGTAATTTTTGGCTTTAATTACACTTCAAGATGCAGAATAAATTTCTGAAAAAAAAAACTAAATCCGATTTTTTGCAATGTTACATTAGATTATTTTATTAATAAGAAACTCATTAATAAATGATTCTAAAAACTTTATTTTTTTTTAATGGATTTTTTTGTTTTTAGAAAAAAATCGGTGCTCTTTGTTGGAATAGTAATGGTCAAAAGTTATTAGTAGCTAGCGGGGAAAATTGTCATATTTCATTGTGTAATCATTTAAATTCAATATTTATTTACTCTTTATCTGAGTAAGTAGATGGATATTTAAATATATTTTACTAATAATAATACAATATGTTATATTTAACATATTATAGTTTAGAAAATGGACAAAATAACATGTTCGATAAACTGGAAGTTACATTTTGTGTCACATGCTTAGCTAGTCATCCAACCAATGAATATTTAATAGCAGCTGGATTATACAATGGTAAGTCCTAAATATTTATGAAAAAAAGAAATTATATTTTTTAAAAGTATTTAAATTATAAAATTTGTTTTAAATCTTAACTAAAAAATGTAAAATACATTTTCTTCATTTACAACATTTCAAATACATAGGTACCTATTATTATCTACTGTAATTAAAGTATATATTTTTAATTCAAAATAATAATTTAAAAACTAGAAATCACATTGTTTCATGAAATAATATTTAGGCCCCGAGCACAGAAATAAAATGAACCCTTTAAAAAGCAGAATACCATATGATTATATTCTTTAATGAAACATGATATAGAGTGATATCTATCTATATTTTCAGTTTCAAAAACCATTAAGGACAATCTCTGATTCTTCTCCATTGTTCTCTATTATTTACCAATTGTTTTGGTTTATTGACTTTTAGTTTCTGGAGATCTTAATTTGGTCTAACTTTTTTTTTTTTTTTTATTTATCCAGTGGTCTTTTTCTTTCCATTCTAGAACATCTTTCATTATTTATTATTCCTTCACTCATGTTCTAGCTAATACATTTTTATTTTATAAGGATGCCTATTTTATTAATTATTCAAAATTATTACTTTTAATTATAATTTAAAAAATGTATAATTTCAGGTGAAATATTGATACACAATATGCATGACATGACCTCAGTGTCCCTTGAATGGCATTCACAAGCAGTATCTGAATTATTGTGGTTTGTAAAATCTGATCATCAAATAATACTGACCAGTGCAGGAAGAGACGGGTACATATGTGTAGGATCAATGATGAGTGACAAAATCAAATTCACCCAACAATTATGCAGGTATAAAAGAATATATTCTTACATATAATATGTAAGCTTTTTTATTTTATATACATATATATAATATATACTAATTATGTATTTTAGGTATTTAATTGGAGTACAGGAGAAAATTGGTATTCGATGTTTTGATTATTCAAATAAACATTTTATAGTAGCACTGGAAAATGGGGAAATCTCTAGTCACTTATGCGAAATATCAAAGAACATAAAAGGTAATTTTTCAATTTCATTGTCAATCAAATGAAATCAATTACATAGGTACACACTATTCCGCACCACCAAATGTGGTTGTGTGTTAGGCGCGTTTTTTTAAAGTGGTATCCCCAATAGGCCTAATCCACTATGAAAAGTACAAAGGATGACTTGTACCGTGCAATTTATTTGAATGAATTTTAAAAATATATAATAATTATACTGTTATTTGTTTTAAATTTAGAAAAGAAATTTACCTAGATCAATGATTCTGTTTAATTTTTAAAAAAAAATATATATTAAGTATCGATTTTTTGTAATTTATTATAATTTTTGTACTTATGATCATCTTGATTTGTGTCTCAGAAACTGTAAAAGTTAAAACATACAATGGATGTTCATTAATAATTGAAAACGTACAATTTTGCCACACAAATAATAATAAATTTATCGTTACACAATATGACTGTAAAATACTATTATATGACTTACATCAGGTAAGTAAATATAAATGTAAACTGAGTATTTGTTTTATTATTATTTACTTTTTTTTCAGAAGGACCCAATTAAAATTGTTTTCAATAGAAATATAATAACTAGTTTATGTTGGAATTTAAAAAATGATTTCATTGTTTATATTGGTGAAGAAACTGGTGAACTTGCTAAAGTGAATTTAGTAACTGGGAAAACAGATACTGTTAAAAGAATTGCTTCTTGTAATTTAATTTCAATGAACATTAATCCCACAAGGTTTGTACTATTTAAAATGTAAAATGTTATATATTTTTTAATAATTTAATTAATATTTTAAGTAGAAAAAATATTGCATTTGGTACAACAGAAGGAGAGATATACATAAGTAATTATGAATAGTGTATCTATATATTGATAAATTATATGTATTATATTTAAAATTGAATGTTGTTTATCGGAATGTTATTCACAATTTTACCTATTAAATAAAATACTTATTGTATTGTTTAATATTTATTGAATACTTGTATATTCATTTCAAGAATAATTTTGTTGTTTTATATACAGTTAAAATGTGTAGATTTTTAATAAGGAATCTAAATATTTATGTATGTGGCAAAATGTTTTTGTTTTTTTTTTTTTTTTTTCTCTAAATAATTGATAAAAAAAAATTCTAATTACAATTTGCTTATTCTAATTATCTATACTAATTGAAAAAAAAACTAAAAGCTATGTGTTTAAAAATGAATAACAAATATTAAAGATAATATCTGTAAAACAGTTAAGTAAATAAAAATACATTTAAATATCTCATATATCAGTGTAACACTTTCACATAATGCATTGGAATATACAATTTTCTTTTACTGATAACAGTCTTACAAACAAAATTTCAATTCAACAAATAATATTCTTAGCATATTTTTTAAAACAACAATAAAATAATTTACCATAAAAAAAATACAGTAATAACACAGTAATATCACACTAATGGCCACATTCCTTATATGTATAATAATAATATAAACATTAATAGGATAGCCATTAAAATAGACACATAGGTACTGTGTTTCTTAAAATTAATTGCAAGAATTATCAAACTATCTAATGAATAATATCTAATTATTGGGAACAGACAGAAGTCAATGGGGTATAAAGTTTGTGCCCAATTTTTTAATCACATACATATAATATTAATTATTATAAAATGAAAATCAATGCCAACAAAATTAAAATGGTAAAAGTGATTCAACTTCAACATTATAATATACAACAAAAACACTCATTTTCTAACACTTAACAAAATATTGATGTCTTAAATTTTTTTTTTTTTTTTTTAAGTTATCATAACTCATGACAATTTATGTTTTTGATCAAATCTAAATTTTTGATATAAAAACCAACCTCATAATATAATCAAGTAAACTAATTATTCTACTTATTACAGTCGGTGGAATAGTTTTCAATATATTAAACATTAAATAATATTACTAAAATATTGAGCTACAATACTAATTTAAATTAAAACCATTTGTGAGGTTAACATGTTTTTGAATTTTATGAATTAATCTATCTGGTAAATAACATATTGCATCTTGTTTATAATTACATTTAATTTTTAAAATAGAACATTAATAAGGTACATCAACACATATAGGACTTACAACTTACTGTGTTATATATAATATTATGATTATGGTAAATAAACCTTAAAAAATAATATTGTTCAGTATCACAATTGCACTTAAACTTTATCAGAAGATGATTGGGGGTAACCGTTGTATTTGAAGAAAGCGCTCAAAAATAAGAATTTTCTTTTTTTTTTTACATAAATTTATTTAAATAATATATAAATATAGTATGGATTTTTTTTTTTAAATAATAAGGTTTTATAACAATAGATATAGTGGATTTTGTTTTTTTGGTTTATAACGCTTTTATTTCAAATACAACTTAACCCACAACTGATAATTGAATCACTGATTTCAATATTAAAATAAATATCACAACAAGTGAACAATTTTTTTCTTAACATAAATTTAATCTGTTGATATTTAAAACATTATATACTATTGATTATTAGCACTCAAATCAGGTTTGAAATTACATATAATAAAAACAAAATAATCATATTGGGTAAACATCAATTTGATTTTATAAATAATAATTACAACCAATTATTCAATCAGTGATTCAACTTAATTATAGCACATAACAATAATTGTAATTTTTGTTATTATAATACTATGTATTATAATTATTTGTATTGCGTTAACTTGTAGATCACCTAACAGTGACTAGATGCAACAATCAGTCCATGACGAATTTTATCTCAAAAAAAAAAAAAATATTATGTATATATATATATATATATGTATATAATAATAATCATTAAAAAACAATATTTATATAATACCTATGAAATAGTTATACATCTTAAATTTATAATTTAGTTTACACAAACAAATAACTGAAGCAGCTAAAGAAATGTTACTAAAATGCTTTAAAGACAATTTCATCATGGCAATGAATGAGAGATTACATAGATTTATTTTAAATTGTAGAAGGATAAATTAATACATTGAGAAAATTCAGAATAAGCATTTTTAGGTAAAATATAACAAAACAATGTTTAAAATTAAAATTCAGTTCTGAAGACTGTTTAGTGTTGAGACTGAAGACTGTTCTAGTGTTTAAATAGTTATATTAAAGATTAAAGGTGATTTTAGCATTGATTTTTCTTGTGCGTGACATGAGTTAATCCATTGCATCGGAGGTAATGGCAAATCTCCTGGCGATGGGCAATTACTAAATTTGGCTCCAGCATAAAAACTATCACCATGGGGTGAGCCACATCGTTCATCTATACTCATAAGTTGTTTGAGCAAGGCGTATTTTTCAATAACCAATTGCTCGATATCGTTTTCTTTTAATTTTTTATGACCATCATGATTTTGTGGACATTCAAATGAAGGCGGAGTATGATTTAACTGCATTTCTGGCAAACGTTTATGTGGAGTATCAATAGGATGTGAGCGTACAAATTGTGATTTTTTGGGAATTTTTTTTTCTCCTTTTTGTAAAGTCCTTTTTGCAACGTCATCTCCATCAGACAAACTATGATCAATATAATTCCTGACATTGCCAGTGTAATATGATTCATTCGAATTTTGCTTAATGTAAGCAGGCGGAGTTTTTGATATAGGTCTCTTTGAATCATGAATCATTTTATAATTTTTGGCTGGATTATAATCTGTCTTTGATGGCAAACTTTTAGTTTTACTCCTATATACGTTGTTTGGTAAGCTGTTTCTTCTGTGACAAATTGGCTTGAACATTTCTACGATTTGCGTTAAGTAAAGTAATACTTAATGAATAAAAACCAACCTTAAAGAAAGTAAAATATTTGTATTAAAAATGGTGCTTTAGAAATAATTAAAATCTTGACTAAATGATTATTTATCAAGGTAGGTACCTATGTTACCAGCAAATTATTGACAAATATGGGTAATCTATAAAATAGATTATAAATTACATTTGGCAATGTATCTGTTAAAGTTTGATTTTATACAATGCCAAAACTATTTCTACTTCAAAATCAATTTAAAAAATATAATCTCTTCCATTTTGAACGTTATACTATATTGAAAAACAGAATATACAAATGTATTTCTAAAACAAGAGTGTACCAAAATTATAAACACTTATTTATAAATTTTGAAATCGTTTTAAAGACATTCAAGTAGAGAATATGTGACAAACTGAAAATTTCAAATAATCTAACCGAACCAAATATCAAATAGTTAGATTCGAAAATCATTCGATGCCAATTCTGCGTGGTCACTAATACCATATTCTGTGATGGAATAGAGCTGTCTTGTTACGAAAAAGAAAAATTCTATTTTTTTTTCATATTAGTGGGTCTCATAATCGTAAATCACGGAACCGAGCAGTTTAAGAACCTAGGTTTTTGGCCTAACCTAACCTTTTTACTTTTTTAATATTCGAGCTCGTCTATTGTTTTATCTGTAATAATTAAGATAATTATTAATTTAAGCTACCTATTGGAATGAGTAAAATAAAAAAAAACGTGATTAAATATGTAGGTAATGTAACAAACATATTATACATAATATCCTAATGACTAGAGGAAAATGTCAAATTTGTCCACCAAGATAAATGTTTTCATTCTATGGCCCTCGGAAAAAAAAGTTAGGAGCACTATTGCGGCCAAAACTAACTGAACCCAACCAAACCCGTGGTGGACTATGTCCATACGTCCTCTTAACACCACGTATCGAACGAAGTTTAATAATTTATAATATTATTGTTTGTAAAACGAGACTCAGTTTTGTATTTAGGGGGGGGGCTACAATTTCCTCCGAAATGTCAAGAAATCTTAAATTATTATTTTAAATATTATACATTATAATAAAAGTAAAATGTGTGATATGTAATAAATCGGCCCCTGCTCCCAAAAAAAAAAAAAAAAAATCGGTAGATGAGCTCCAAAGCAAAATATATTAAACGAAAAAGTGCCCATTGGTTTCCACTGGAACTACACGAGTTTTACACTTACAGCTTGCCAGTTTTTTAAATCGAAAACGAAAAACATGATTGACAAATGGCAAATAAAATAATATTTTGTTTTTATTTTGTGCGTGTTGATGATTATGTCCATGATATAATAATCATAATATTACTTTTATGATAATGTACAATATTTTATATCGATGGTTAATGAAATAATAAATGGTTTTAGCACAAATACCTATAAATTCAATTTTAATTAATCTGATATCGGTAATATTTATTACCTATTGTAAAACATAATTATTTATCCATCCGTGTGTTCTACAATTTCCCCTATACAGTCAATTCCAATTCATTAAAATAGGTACGGGATTATTTGATAATTATTAAACCTTATCAATTGCATCGCCTTGCGCCTTAGCCATGTTTATTGGTAGGTACTTAATTGATTGTTCAACAAATGTGTTAAGAAAATAATAACACGGACAAAAAATAATATGAATAGCTATGGGCTAATACAGGATCATGCAAATATCAGAATACAGTCAAATTTTTTCATGAAATACTTGTTTTTGATAATTACTTGTAAAAAACGTTTTGGAATCATACATCTATTACAAAATGTTACATTGTCTTTATTTTTGGGAGTGAAACGACTACCTACTTTTGAAAGTACAAAATAAGGGTAACAAAAATAATGACAATGTAACATTTTAGAATATCTAAATGATTTATTCAAGTCAAATTTTGGAAAAAAAAGTATTTCATGGCATATTTGACTGTATTAGAAAATTTAAATGACCCAGTATAGGTAACGATAATCTGCTTTGATGTTTAAAACGTACGACAATATTGATTCAATATCATTATAACATTAATATTTTTTTTTTTTTCCACTGGCCTGGATTATTCAAAATTACTTCAAAATTAAATATGCGATGGATGCAGCAGTCACGGTACAGTTATTAGAAAATGATAAAGATAGAATAAATTATATTGTAGTAGGTACCTATGTTTAATATTCGACCGAGCCACGTATTATCATTTTCGAATAACTGTCCGACCACACCTATTCAAATTAAGCAGACGTAAAAACGTAATACCAATCAAGTTTGTAATTTTTACCTATTTTTTTAAGTTGAAAACAGAAGTTAAATCATAAAAGTTTGTTTTTGGGTATTAAATGTCAAAAGATACTCGATAAAATATCAAATATCGATATTATTTTCGTATATAAAACATCATAACTATAAAGAGCACCTGAATACGAATCTTTCATTGTCCCTTAGTACAACAAAAATCCGCAAAGCGCTAGTAGTTCGTCCAATCATTCCCGACTCGGTCCGCAGTTGAATTATGTAGTTTTCATTATAATGTTATTCTAACATATATGTATTTTTAAGTTTTAAGGTAAGATTGTAGTAATGAATATTGTCAAGTATTATTTAACAGTAAATATTGACAAACAAACAAATAATATTCTGAGAGGCAATCAGATTTATTGAATATTCGATGAATATCGAAATACGTAGGTGATGGGATTACTTATTTAATACTCTGAGTGATCATAGTGTCAAATAAGGAAAACACGGTATGATAATTATACGCCCGTGATGGAGAAACGAATTTTATAGTTGGAGTGCAACATGAAAAAATCGGTAATGCGTACGAGATCGATCAGTAGCTATGCCAAACTGAGTTTCGGACGTTTCGGGTACTTAAATCGAACATAGACGTATTAACCTATGGACGAATTTTTCCTCGCCCCTTGTCTATTTTAATTGCGAGTTAACATAGAAGAAAGATAAAATCTACTAACAGAAGAAAGATAGTCGATTTTGTAGTAACTAACTATCTACTATCTAGTATACCTACCTCCCTAGTATAGATATCTAACTTCCCTACACTCACTCGATGCCATTTGATGGTTATATATTATTATCTACCGAGATTTCTATATCTATAAACTATTATCTATAAACCTCGAGTACCTATGTAATATACCCTATAGTTTCTATCAGCTGTCCCATTCAATCGATATTGTCATGTGTATCATTTAAACATACCTTTGTCATATCGAAAACGTAATATACTTAGGAGGTTTTTTTTTTTATGACCATGGTTAAGCAATAAAATCTTTTTAATACATCAATACATTTGGTTATATTAATTAATAACATGACGCGCATGCCGTATTTTCCTGTAATCCCGTTAAATGATCAAGCATTTTATAGAACGCAGAGTTAAACTTTGTTGGTAACACAGATACCATATAACAGCATAGGTAACATAGGTGCCTACATAAATATTCATATATTCCGGTAAACATTACATTGATTTTAGAATATTTCGAACGATCAGAATTATTCCACTAATGATAATGTCTAAAACTTCCGAGTACTTCGTGTTAAATAATTGTTAAATGCCTGCGCGCGATTTGTGCAAATGAAGTAGGTAGATAGAAGAGGGGGGGGTTGAAGAGCGAAAAAAAAAAAAACGAAAAATATGATGAAATAAGAAAAAATCAGGCGTTATTTGAATGGTCCGGTTTAAAGAAAAAACCGGAAATAACCAATAGCCAAACACGGTGATAATCTTAATGGATCGTATTTTTCAAAATCATTTATTTCGTACACGAGTGGCGATCGATCGATCGGTGGGAAGTTTCTTTGGCCGCGGACGACATCCTCGGGAGAATTTCGGAAATTTGTTCCGATGTCAGCAGTAGTTCGCAACCGGAGGAGAGGGGGCCCGCATGAACGGGAAAGTACCTAACCAAATTTTTATTGTACTCGTGTCTCGTCTCGCGGTACTTTCTATCCGTCCGGCGACCTAATTCGCCGGACGGACCCACCGAAATCAAATATAGTCGGCTGGGTAAGCATATTTCGTTTGTCGACTGTTGTCGAAATTATCGCGGTGCATCCCCAACTACTATTATTATACTATTATTATTATTATTATTATGCCTAGGCATGTACACCCCTAGTCAATAGGCGAGACGGACGGAAAACCGAAAGGCGCGGTGACCCGGTGACCCGCGAACTCGCCAAAATAAGTACAATCATTAGACCGCATATCGATTTCCGGTTTTTGTTTGTTTTTTTCTCCAAAAACTTACTTTTCGGAGAAGCACGTCGCCCGGCGAACGGATCGATCCCGTCGGGTTCGGCTGGCTACGGTATCCTCGGCACGACCTCCGGCCGGTTTCGCGTGCTCGTTCGGACAGCGGCGGCGTCCAAGTTGTCGGTGTATTGTCGACTCGGCGAATAATATTACCGTTACCGATAATATTATTGGGAACGGGTACGCGGACCAAACGTCACACGAGGGTGTTGAAACGGCCGGCGTACACACGGCACGAACGCGACAATGTACGACGCCGAACTAGCGCGGCGTATTTGTTGTTAATCGGATAAATTAATTTAATGATTTTCGCCGCAAAAAAACGACGACAACAAACAACAATAATAGCTGTTCTATTGGGTAACGTCTGTATCACCGACGGGACGACGCGAATCGATATTATCGACGCGACGACGCGAACAATATTACTATACTGTTTGAAATCAAACAATAATATTATTATTATCGTATACGCGCGTGGTAAATATGCGGAACTCGGTCGTAGTCCGCGTTAATCGGGTAAAAGGTGAAAACACTTGAAAAGAAGAAAAAAAAAAAAGAAGAAAAAAAAAAACGACAAAATTATAACAACAAAATATAAATTATTGTTCAATAATAACAAAATATCATATATATATATACATGCGTGTATATATTATATTATTATCTTGTGTAAATACGAGAGACGAGACGTCGGCACGATGCGGACGGTCGCGTCGCGGTGAGTGTGATGACTGTAATGCGAATGAGAACCTTCGCGGGCACGGGGACAAGCGAGTGGAAAACGAGCTGAGTAGTAACGCCGCGGCCTCTGTTGGCTCTCGGCGTACGTGCGCAGAAGCAGTAGCGGCGGCAGTAGGGACCCGCGCTGCGTCGACCCTATGTATTCAATCGGGCCCCTACCCCCGCGCCCCGCCCCGCGCCACCGTTAGGTGTTCGCACGACGCGGACAAAGAGCGGCCAACGCGCAGCCGGGCTACGAGGCGGCGGGCGGTGTCTAACAAAAGTGAGAGGCCCCCCTCTCTACCCCCCCCCTGAGACACCACGCACGTTGGTAGTCGTCAGGCGGCCGTCGTTTTCCGTTGCGTTGCCACATTGTGGCGAACGCAGACGTCGTTTTGCCTCGCCCGGCCATGACGCAGCTGCCGTGTGTGTCCCCCGGCTAGGAAAAAAAAACATTTTTTTTTTTTTTGTATTCCGTAATACGTTTTTTATTCTTTCATTCGTCATCGCTACGACGACGACGGCGCTATCTGCCGGGTCGAATTGCGAACGCGCCGCAAGGTCACGTAGTGGGCAGGATCCCTTCAATCATTAAGATATATGGCTTCTTATAGGGCTCTGTTTATTATATTCGTACTCTTATAGGGCAAAATTAAGAAAAGCCCGCTATTTTGAGGGGCTTAACGCCCCTTAATATCGATTGTGTATATACTTGGTATATTTAATTGACAAGGACTTGATTCGAGGAAAATTACCCCCTTCCCATTCATTGGCGCGGTACTCGCAGGGTGATATAGGAGCCGATAGAGGTTCGGAATCGGCAAAACAATGTTATAAATGTTTATCCGAGAATATTATTTTTTAAATTTTTTCGGTCTGAAAATTCCATTTAAACATCGGTTTTGCTGTAGGTAACTATAGATTTCAAATTAAAGTATGTACTTTTGACGGCTGAGCGAAGTATTGTGAAAAATAGATCCTCCGACGTTGTCGATTTAAACGTTGCGTTTCTCGACGCCGAGTACGATGATAGAATTAGAATTTCTCGGTCAGATTTTCATTTACGGTTATAGGACTTCGGAGATGAAAATAATTCGATAAATAAAAATATTAGTAAACATAAAGTTTTTTCACTATTTTTTTTTTTTCATTTGAAACCTATAATTTGAAATTATAATTTGACGATAGTGTTTAGTTTTTGAGATATTTTAATTTGCTCGAGTTTAGCGTGCACGAGCGCACACACGAACAGCAGATGTTTAAAAAATTGACGTACCTACCTATCTGTTTTGTCCCCCGCTACCTTTTGTTCATTTTTTTCCCGTTCAAACCGACAGCAATGCGGGATTTGTTTTCACAATACTTCAGATTTTCACCTTACAGTTATTAATATTTACAAATATTCCATACAAATTAATTAGTTTTTAACCTCGCCGATGGGTAAATAATCGTAAGTAGAAAATTAAATTAGCGTTTTCAGGACTTTTAAATCAAGTTTATTTTTCGAATATTTTTATTGAAACGCCTTTCTCGATCCGATTGCGGTTTTCGATTATTATAATATATTTTTTTTTTAACCCAAGTACAACTCTACTCAAAATAAATGCAATTCGACCTTACCCGAATTAAAGTGGTACTGTCCACGGTTATATCCGAGTTTAGAAACGCCATCCCCCTGAAATTTTTTTTCCTGTATACGCACCTGCATGGGTAATATTTTATAATATTCTCGATAATTCTTGTTTAAATACTAAATCGAGGTGCGCGAATCGACGGCACCACGATTCTCGGACAACGTAACGGCTCGTCACGTCACGGTGAAAGGTACCTACAGCAGCAGTCCGGATGATATAACAATAATAATAATAATAAAATATTTTTAAAAAATAACGTTATTTTTATAATTCCGCGATGACTCACGAGACTGTACGGAAAAAATAATCGTACCACTCGTTCGCTCCGTCATCCGGTCACTGGTTCAGACGTGTTAGGGGCCTGTTCGCGAAGATTCTTCCCCATACCAAAAATCGACTCTCTCTCTCCCCCCCCCCTCTAGTAAAATAGTCCATGTGCAGTGGTATACTATCCAGAACGAAACGTCGGCGGTGGCACTAATAATTGTTTATTATAACTGATTATTTTTTTTTTTTTTTTTTTTAAAAACCGAAATAACCAACCAAACAAAAGATTTCGAGAGGGACACGTGCCCCCAATGACCCCCCGTCTTGCTTGTATGCGGAAATAAAACGGTATAAAACCCAGGTACACATATCGTTGTTACGCTGCGTCCAAACTGAATCCGGGTGATGCGGTGCGTGCGTTGCGCGCGGCGCGGGGAAAAAAACAAACAAATCCGGTAAAATAATTACGGACGTCGTAATACAACCGCGAAAATTTGATAACCAAACGAGTTTGATATTATCTTGCGGTACGGCGCGGCGGCGACTACGGGCGGCTACGGGCAATATACCGACATAATTAGTATTCCATTTGAAATGTACACACCATCCTATCCGTGCGCCTATCTACAGTCACGGAGTCTCATCTCAGAAGTCCAAAAGAGGCGTACTTTATGGGACAAGTGCCGTGGACAGTTAATAGATGGGATCAAAGTTGATAGCGATTGGGAAGCTGTAGAAAAGGAATATTATGTACACCTAGTGCGTCCGTGTGTGCCGACAGTAAGACGGTCTTTACACAAACATACGGTGTCAACGTAATTATTATTTATTTTTTTTTTTTTTTATAAGCGTGTATACTTTCAACCACAGGTTTTCGGATAGCAACCACTTTCGTTGCGTCGCCGTTAGCGGCATAATTACAACTATCGAAGAAATACAAATTTACCCGCACACGATAAAATCGTATTTAATTTTGCGGTGCGGACATCGGTTACCCGGAGATCCAGTTACGGACACGGCGTCGTTACTCGTTGGATTCTTCTTCGCGATTGTGCACACTTTCGTCTTTTACGATCCGCATCGATTTTCGCTGTACACATTTTATTCGCACGTTCATAAGTATTTTGCGTACGCTTTGTTATACAATTTTAACATTCGCGTACAATTGACATTTCCGTTCACCAACAATTGCTAACTTTTTTTACACGGCGTAACGCGTGAAACGCGCACAAGAGATCGTCACCGTTACTAAATGTCTATAGCGATGGTATTTGAACACGAGACCACGTCGGAAAACGTAGAATTGTGGTTTTATTTCTGATTTCCGGTTTTTCGATTAAACTTTTATTCATTTGTACATATAACAGTGCGAAACCGACGCGATAACACGCAATCTCCAACGGAATAAATATAAACATATACCATTTGTATTATCCGCGACTTTGTCCATTATAATATAATATTATTTTATGTCCGTACAGTTTAGCGTGCGTATATTTATTGTCTATTTTATCGATTTTTTTTTTTTTTTTTTAGGTCTATATCGATAATATAGACGGGGGTTCCGCTTTCACAGCTATTATTTACGTCGTCGTCGTCGTGTCGCTATAATTACATTGAGCCGACGACAAAATTAATAATCATTTCTGAACCATGCGGAATGGCTGGATTCAAAATAATAACAATAATTCAATTGCCTACAAACTACGAGCGTGCACAGCAAATGAAACAGGAAACGGCTTGAAATTTGCCACTCTCGTCGTGTCGTAACGTAATAGGACGTGTTCGCGTACGATGGTTGTGCGTACATATTATTACTATCGTTATTATTATTAGTATTATGTTCGAGTTTGATACTTTAATATTGTTATATTGATAGCAATTTCATCATAAAAGACAAAAATTCAATATCGAACATAATTGTATGTATTGTATATATTGTAAAATGTATATATTTTTATTTTACACGTTTCAATATAGAACACCTAATACTACAACATTTTCAAATGTATACATTTAATACTAGTTTACCTGCTATACAGGTAAGCGTTTTAAAACGATATATTGTATAATTCATATTATACTATTATACACAAGTAGCTACAATAAATTGGCAGCTACACAATCAAAACAATAGGAATTTCGAAACACTACACGACTGAGCACAATTAATAATAGGTGCAACGTTACCCGCATTCGTTTTTTCAGATTCTGAGCGTTGCGAGGAATGTATTGTTCTATAATCAATTTTTTTTTTTGTCTGTCTGCTAATTATTTTTCCACCGGAAATCCTACTCCGGTCATCAACTTCAGAGGAGGTTCCTGGTATGCAAATTTTGTATTATTGCTACGGTATAATCATGAAGAGGTTAATTTTTAATTTTCCTTGTTTATAGTTTTTTTTTTCTTTTCATCAATGGTAAAACATTGTGCAATTTTCGAAAGGTTGCTGCGGTTATTTATAATTTTGTTTTTTTGTCGCAATTCGGTTGGAAAATAACATATACTTCAAATAATTATCGAATACATGTATTAGATATTTCTAAACGTGATGCAAATAATGCTTTTTAGACTGCTATCCTAAGTATTTTTAAATCGAATAGTTCAGAAACTTTTCGTTCAAATTTCGATTAGATACAATACGTCAATAATTTCACAAAAATCATCTGATTTACAATGTTTACATTAAATCATGTAGGTTTTCATTTAAAAAATCGAAAACGGTATCGCCACAGAAAATACTACTTAAATGTCGTGAAAAATCTATGTATTCGAAAATATCGGCTTTAATTACACTTAAACATTTCAAAAATCAGAATTTGAATATAATACGCAAAATTTAACGATACAAATGACCATGCCTAATGAATCGCTCTGTATATAGATTTTTTAATTTATATCTGTGTGTAATGATTTAATTTTTTTTAAATATAATATTATTGCTACAAATGTTTTTATTACTGGGAATTCCGAAATGCCGAGTCTTTTTAACACTTATCTTTATGTTTTAATTTGAATAAACGAAGGGGAAGGCGAAGGGGATAATGTGATAAGAAATGTTCGAGTAGAAAAAATGTATTGTGTCGATAGTCACCGATATGTTGGTGTGTTACGTAATATATGCATAGCGAGTTTATTTCTAGAAATGGACATTTTTATAAAAATAATAATGGTGGCGAATAGATAAGGTTCGAACGATTCGCTCATATTTATTTCTGTTTATATTTAAAAGATAAAACGAATAATTTAATTTTTTTTTCCGTCTGTACATTTCGTCGACAACAAAATGGCAAAAACATACAAAATACGTTCGAACGGTATACAAAATGTTCTACATGTCTCGTGTTATTATGGTGTCCTCTAAATGTAAACCGAAAACCAAATCACGTACGACGGGACCCCCTGTGCTCGGTCGTGTGTTGCCGAGAAAACCGAGTTGGCAACGTTGCGCTCGAGAAAAAAAAACACACCGCGCGCTCGATAATTGTGTACGTTGAAAAAGGTCGACAGAATAAACGAGCGTGTTCTGAAAAAAGAAAAAAAAAAATGGTACAACCTGTGGAATTCGCGTTAATTGTGCGAACGCAAATTTCGGTTATCCGGTCCAGGGATTCACGTAATATTTGGCGTTTTAATTGCGACCTTCCAACGAGTGCCTAGGTGTAAGCAGCTGCGCACCGGCGGACAGTCTACGCGCGCCCGCGTAAATAACAAAAAAAAAAAAAAAAATCGGTTTTTAATGTGCCGCTGTATTATTGTTTACACGATTCGCGCAATGCGTTTAATGTTCGATATTTAAACAATATTATGACGTGATTATTGAATTCCAATATATTACCGGGAGCGTCCGCGATGGACGCATAATTGCGGTCGCATTAACATTGGACGGACGGGACCGTAAGTGAAGCTTTGGCACTCGCGCCGTGTGCCGTCCACACGGACGTTGATCGCGTTGTACAATGTTATCTACGCCGAGGACCCCGGGATCGAGTGGCGAGGTCGAGTACGCGCTTGAGAGGTGGTGCATTTCAACCGCCTAGAATCGTGGGCAGGCGGGTCTGGGGTAGATAGGTGAAAATATTCAACCGAGATAACTGGACAACACTATTGCTAGGTACTGTAGGTATGGATCAGGGGTATTAGGTACTCAAGCAGTTATAACTGCTACCGTTAACCAGTCATTGCAATATTACACTATTACCACGTCAGTAGCCTGTATCGCTCACAATAATTGTTCATGTTCCATAAATGTATGCAAACACGGTATCAACATGTTTGTGAACACTGAACACACAGTGGCCTTTATTGAATTAGACATCATATTTGTTACATTCAAATGTGCAGTGTTATATCATAAACAAACCGTTTGTGGTTCGCGAGCGTAACGACCGGCTTTGTGTGGATTAGTGTTGTGGCCGGGCGGGTGGATTTTGGTAAGAATTGAACGACCTTTTTTTTGTGAACTCTGCGCCACTGGTCGGACACTGACGGTGTGCTCTTGTCGTAGGTATATAGTTATGTATATTATGGTACCGACCAAACCCGATTTACATCACCAGATGTGTTTAGCCTTTAAAACACCGATGTACATGTATATTATATCTGTATGGTCTAACCTGTACAGAACATTAAATTATTTCATTCGGAGTTTTTTATTTTTACAACATTTTGTTTCAACAATAATAAGAATTAAAAGTCGTTTTCAGACGTCGAAAAAAAAAAATCCTCCCGAAAAGGATAGTGTAGATTGCGATTGCGGTAGATATGTTTTCGGTGTATAAATATTAGATAGCACACGACACGAGTTCCAAAGCTTTTAACTCGGGAAATCAGAACAGAAAACAGGTAACCACATTCAAACATATTTTCATTTTTAAAATGTATCAAAAACATTCAAATAGATACATACGCCGAAATCAATTTCGTAGATTTAGAAACGAACAAAACATCTGAGAGTCTGAGTCAAAAATGTATTGAACATAAAATCACACAACATTCGGAAAAAAAATCGATACACTCAAATTTGCAAAATGTGTGCCACACAAATATGACTCAGTTTAATTACGAGTACAATTTCAAATATATTTTTTTATAACTCATTTTCAATTTCATTTTTTTTTAATTCAATTTTATAACTGTATTATACATCTATAACTAACATTTTTTAAGACAAATTTTATATACTATGATAGTTTAATCACAACGAGTGTAAATTATTGTAGGCACTTGTATTATTTTTATTTATTTTGATTACCCATATTTTGATGTATAACAAGATAAACCGATCGCTACTTAGATTTTTATTTACCTGTTTTGATCCCTACCAGAACTCGGTATGAACCATAATACCGAATCCGATATACAAAATATATAGTATATTATAATATAATACAGGTTAAAGGTACGTAAAGGGACAGTAAAAACGATACTGAATAATATAAATTTATGGCCGTGTAATGCCACACAGTCGGTCGGTATTTTTTCTTTTCCTAATGTCCGTCGTCGCGATTAGTAAATCGTCAACAAAGGCGTCCGTCTACACAAATCGACACATTGCGAGGGACGACAATGGCGTTTTATTCGTTATTTTAGTTTTTAAATATATTTTTTATTGCCTATGTGATCTTTAAATTAAAACAAAAAAAAAACTCATATAAAACGTATCGTCCGCGTATGCAAGCCAGGGGATGCCATTATCCCCCTCTCTCCCCTAACAGACGCCTATGATCGTCCAGTGAGTACGTTGGGGATTACGAATTTTTTTTTTTTCCGCACCGTATCGCCCGGATTCAGTTAGGATACGGCGTAACGCTGTACAATACAGTGAAATTTTAACAAAAATCTGACTGAAACCTAACGTTCAATGCTGATAAACGATAAGTGTTTGTTAGAATATTGGTTTCCCTGCGGTCGACCCTTCCGGCGTGACGAACGATTTCGACTCCCGGACTCGCAGCGATTTGTACCGCACGGAGTGTCGAAATCACCTGCTCTATAGCAGATGATTTTTTACCGCGTCGTACATCGATCGATACGCGGCCAACAATCTTAACGCATCCATCACAAAATCAAACAAAAAGTAACAAATAAAACTCGATAGAAGCGTACTCGATATGATACAGATTTTATATACAAATGCAAAACTGCGTTTGGAAAATCTATAACGTCTTTGTCGTTTTCGAATTGAACCTTTGTGATTTTTACGGAAGTCACCGCGACATTTTTCTTCACAATGTATCTGTATTTATCACGTAGTGCGTGAAGTTCGTTTCAGTAGCGTATTTGGCATTTTTTTCTAGGGGCAAATACTAAAAACTTTGTTTATCAACTATTTTATTTTTATTTTATTATTTTCAATCGATACCTATATATTGTTACATTATGGTTTATTAATATACGTATAAAAAAAAAAGGCACCAGGGTGGATCTATTCCAAGATAGATAATCATATAAATACGCCATTGGTTCGTTGAAAAAGGTTTTTTAAGTTGAAATTTTAACGAAAATTGTAAAAATCATGATATTTCAAAACTTATTGTTTAGCCGGGATTCACTCAAAACTGTTCATAATGATTTATCGTTGCGTACAGACGTAAATTAAATTATGTATCCTATCTATACAATTTTTCATCTACAACAACGGCACACCATAATTTTTTTTACATTTTTTTCTCTATACGACTGCACTCTGCGGTGACTAATTCGTCGAATACTGACTAGAATTAACCTTAAGTTGACTATACTACTATAACAATTGTAACTTTGTAAGTATACAGTGTATCGGGTGATTCGTTCAAGTGAATACACTCCTTACCTCGGGATGTACTTACTTTTTTCAATTTTTTTTTTTTTTTTGACAATTTAAGAAACAAGCAGTTCTAAAATATAACATTACCATTATTTTTTGTCACTCTAA